GCTTTGAGAAATAATTGTTGCTGACACCTGCGCAGATAAAAATTGAAAATTTCAGTCAATTGAATCTTTTCTAAAAAATGGATACCATATTTGGGGTGGTAGCAAGCAACTATAGGGCGCTTGAAATTTCCACTTTCTCAGTGGCATGTAATTCTTTTAAAAATAGATAATAGTTTGAAATTAATGTTAATAATTCCTTTCAGGTATCTAGCATATTTTTAATCTAAAAGCCTAAGACCCCATAAATTTAATCCCAACTGCTCAGCTTTAATGCTTTTCACAATATAAGACTTCAATTTTCCAGCATTCTGCAACATTTAGGAATCACACATTTTTGCAAAACAAATTTTCAAGTTTATCTTTCCTTCATATTCTCTCCTATGTTGGCAAATTCAAGAAGGAACCTAATCTGAATGTTCTCTGCCTTAATGCAGACGTTGTCAGCAAGTTTAAAGACAAATTTTTATTAAAAGATAAATATGATCTATTTTAGTCCATTTGGGATCATCTTAATTGGTTGTCACATCAATGATTCATGGCTAATAAAAACTAAGAGATTTAGTACCATGAAGCAGTCCGTTTTAGGTTATTACCACCCAAGAAATTGGATAGATATACCACTATCTTCTTACAGCTAATTTTTAAATAATATGCTTAATGCTCAATTTTATATTCTTAATATCAAGAAAAATACATGCTAAGTAGGATATTTATCTTAGTTTAATACAAATAAAATCTTACCTGGGTTCCTTGACATGGCTGGAACTGGCTGGGAGCTGACAAGTTGGGTCATGTATGCCTCCTGAAAACTGTATTTTACCCACAGTGATTTGCAACAATTTGTTACTTTGGGGGTTGGATTCAGAACTTCCTCTGGTTCATAAACAACACCATCATGTTTTTTCTTCAAGGTTTTTGCCTGTTGAAAAATATGTCTTCAGAGGATTTCCCCATTTGTCAGAAAATACTTGGGATATGTTAGGTGAATATTGATGTTTTAACAACATTTGCAGCCTTTATTCCACATATAAGAGGGTTATGGATTTGGGTGGAACAGGGCTGATCTATAAGGTCTTTTTCCATTTAGTTAAACATCTTTCTAGATTGCTTGGTATTTAAATCTGCTACACCACCCCACCTCCTCATCTCCCATTAGTTTTTGTCATCTTTTAATACCCACATTCCATCGGGGAAGAGTCTAAATTGGTACACACAGAAAAACAGAGACAAATTAGTGTAGCCAAAAGAAAAATAGATGAAAACTTAAGGAAGGTGGGGAGGGGTGGAGGTGGATACAATATATTCCTCCTGTGTGTTTTTCCTCCCCAGAACCATTCTTATAGTTTCTCTTTAATCCTCCATACGCACAGAGTCCATGTCTACAAACGCTGATGAAGGTTATTCTGCTCTTTCCCCTTTTCCCCCTAATATTACAGCACCAATCCAATAAGATGAAGAATATAATTAAGACTTTCATTGTCTTTCTGGGCATTTAATTCTCTTGACTTAAAGTTTGGCCACAGAGTTCTATTCTACCTTCTAAATCTAAGCAGCTACTGGAAAGGAAAGGAATGGGTAAGAGAATAATGAGGGACTAAAGAAGGTAATAGAGGTGGCCCTTAGGAGCTTTAAATCAGTTCTAATAAAAATAAGTGACTCACATGTCATTTTAAGTTTTCTAATAGTTATAATACATTTAAAAAGTAAGAAAAAGACCAGGCGCGGTGGCTCATGCCTGTAATCCTAGCACTCTGGGAGGCTGAGGTGGGAGGATTGCTTGAGGTCAAGAGTTCAAGACCAGCCTGAGCAAGAGC